GCAGAGGATGAGGAAAACAGAAACTCAGGCCCCTTGTGGGGGGTCAAATTGCCTCTTTTTGCCCCTGTGTGGCCAGTGTATACCACACAGTGTGAACCAGTTGGAGAATGGCATTGTTGATTGGTAAGGCCTCCCAGCAGGTAAAATGTCTAGTAATTGGTGCTTGCACCTTGTTCAATACTGGAGAGCATATGTTGCCCTTCATAACTGTTGTCATTTTCATGAACTATCTGGGGGAGAGAAAGGTGTCATGGATACAGCCATATCTGAAGGCAACGAAGATAATCTCTCTAGATCTGTTGGGGTCAGACTGATAAGTGCATCATTTGGTATGGTTCTGAACATCTACTAGGCAAAGGATGTGGTTCTGACACAGGGGAGTTCTCTCGCATTGAGTGGGACAGTTCTGAAGGCAAATATTTGGGCCACGAGGACCAATATATAGTCCTGGAGAAAATCTGCAATTCCTGCATTTGAAGCCATAGGAAAATTACATAAATACTCAAGACTAAATATTATATGACCAACCTGGTTGATCCTGCTGTTGCATTGCTGGTTCCCAAAGAGTCAAGTAAAGTAAGAATATCTCCACAATACTGCCATAACCTGATAGTCATATCTTTGGAATGGAAGCAGTGTACCATCCATATCCTCAGGTTCAGAAGAATCGGAGTCCAAGTGGTATTGCTGATGGAACGGGATATATCATAGAATAATAGAATCCTAGAATCCTAGGGCTGGAAGAGACCTCAGGAGGTTATCGAGTCCAGCCCCTGCCCAAAACAGGAGAAATCCCAACTAAATCAACCCAGCCAGGGCTTTGTCAAGCCAAGATTTAAAAACCTCTAGAGATGGAGATTCCACCACCTCCCTAGGTAACACATTCCGGTACTTCACCACCATCCTAGTGAAATAGTTTTTTTTCTAATATCCAGCCCAGACCTCCCTCATTGTAAATTGAGCCCATTGTTTCTTGTTTTGCCATCCGTTACTACTCTCTCCATCCTCTTTGGAACCTCACTCTTCTCTTCTGCAGGCTAAATAAGCCCAAATCCCTCAGCCTCTCCTCATCGGTCATGTGGTCCAACTGCCCAATGATGACGTCATGCCATTGAGGGCCGTGCAGGTGGGGGCTCGGTCGCGCATTCCGCCTGGGGCAGCAGCTGTTGGCAGCCCGCCTCGTCCATGTCTTTTCTATAGTGGGGAGCCCAGAACTGGAAGCAATACTCCAGATGTGGCCTCATCAGAGCTGAATAAAAGGGAATAATCACCTGTTGACTCATATCCAGCTTCTTATCCACTGTAATCCCCAAGTCCTTTTTTGCTGAACTGCTACTTAGCCAGTCAGTCCCCAGCCTATAACAATGCTTTGGGATTATTCCATCCCAAGTGCAGAACTCTGCACTTGTCCTTGTTGAACCTTATCAGATTTCTTTTGCCCCAATTGTCTAATGTGTTTAGGTCACTTTGGACCCTATCCCTGCCCTCCAATGTATCTCTCTCTCCCCCTAGCTTAGTATGATCTGCAAACTTGCTGATGGTGCAATCCATCCCCTCATCCAAGTCATTAATAAAGATGTTGAACAAAAACTGGTTCTAGAAAAGATTCTTGGGGCACTCCGCTAGAAACTGACCACCAACCTGACATTGAGCCATTGATCACTACCCGTTGGGCCCGACAGTCTAGCCAGCTTTCCATTCATCTTACAGTCCATTTATCCAATCCGTATTCCCTTAACTTGCTGGCAAGAATATTGTGGGAAATGGTATCAAAAGCTTTGCTAAAGGTATACCACATCCACTGACTTCCCCGTGTCCACAGAGCCAGTTACTTCATTGTAGAAGCTAATCGGTTGGTCAGGCACGACTTGCTCTTGGTGAATTCATGTTGACTATTCCTGATCACTTCCCCTCTTCCAAGTGCTTTAGAATGGATTCTTTGAGGATCCCCTCCATGAGGTAAGGCTGACTTATCTGTAGTTCCCTGGATTGTCATCTTCCCTTTTTCAAAGATGGGCACTACATTTGCCTTTTTCCAATCATCTGGGACATCTCCCGATCTCCACGAGTTTTCAAAGATAGTGGCCAAAGGCTCTGCAATGAAAGACACTAGGATAAAAGGTGGCATTTCCAAGACAGTGAATGAGGCACTTTGTAGACGAAAGTATTGGAATACATGGAGACCTCATTCTTTCCTGGGCAAACAGTTCATGAGATCCAGGGGCACTTTTACATCTCCTCAGAGTCAATAGAACCAGGGCCGGTCAGGGGATCCATTTCTGAACTGATGGTTCTTGGGACATCAGCAGTGCCAATGCAGAAGGGGTATGAATGTCCAGAAGTGGGACCAGCAGATTCAGTGAATGATGTAACTTCTTTTGTCTCTTGTAGGCCTTGGGATGCAGCATTGCTCTATGGCTGGAACTCATGGATGGTACAGTGACTTTCTTAGACCTGGAGGAAGACTCACTGTTATGCTTATATGCATGCTTCTGTGACTTATGGCTAGGCTCTGGTGTGCTAGAATCTGTAGTCTTAGTACTGGCTCCACAGTAGGAAGGTCACTCTTGAACTGTTTGGGGGTGGGGGTCAGGGCCTACCTGTCCAGGATCCGAGGTCAGCCCCAAAGCAACCTCAGTGAGGTGCTTCTTGAGATTGAAGTCTCTGCCTTCCTGTATATGAGCAAAGAAAGAGAGGTAGATATAGCACCTGGACATGGTGTGGACTTTGCCCAAACAGTACATATAGCATTGGTGCTCATTGCTGAGGAAAAATAAGTAAGGGCAAGAAGCACATACTTTTAATTCTGGTCTCTTTTGCATAATCCAATACCCAGACCACTGTGTTGGAGAGAGGGGGCTCTTTTTGGTGGGAAAGTGCAGAAGAGGAATTCCAAGTCCTTAAATGAAGAAAAAACATCTAGAAACAAAATAATTACAACTCCCTGTCCCCCAAAATATTGACTGTAGACTGACCTGGGTGCTGAGGGGAGGGAGAGAAGTGGAATTCAGGACTATTTAGCAAGAAACCATCCAAGTGTGTCCCCAGCCCTTAAACCTACAAATTTTCTACGAACAAAATTTCTATAAAACAGCAAGAATCTTATGTATAAAAATATAGTTTTTCTGAAAAGTTTGGAAAATGCATCATCAAGAACAAGAGGACAGCAAAAGCTCTAACTTGGACCATGTGGCTATGAAAAGGACCTGAAGACATGGTCAGTCCGTTCCACCATTTATTGCTTTAGAATAAATGACAAGTCAATGCAAGGGTGCATGCATGTGTAACCCTTCTGCCCTGTGGATCCAGCAGTGGCCAGGGCCAGGTTCAATATCTAGGGGTTTGTCTCCACCCATCCAACACAGAATTGGCTTGAGCTCCCACTCAGTAACCTGGGAAATTCACACAACACACCTAGGCACCTCTGAGAGGCAATGCTTCCCCATTCTCAAGCACAGAGTCTGAGTATAGAAAATAAACTTTTAATAAAGGAAAGGAAAGTAACTTAGTATAGAGGAAGTTCACAAACTTCATGAACAAAAACCATGAGTAAAAGTCCCACCCCAAGTAGGTTGGGCAATGTCCTTTCCCTCTCAGGTTCTTAAGTCCAGCAGTGTAAGTGTCCCCTTCACATGCCCAACCCTTCTCTGCACCCCACTCACAGTTGCTGCCTTTGGCCAGAGCAGGCCCAGAGTTCACCTCCCATCCTGAGTGGGGCAAGAAAAAGAGTCATCTGACTCTGCTACTGCCCTGCTGGCCATTCATCTCACCTCTTTGCTGCCACCCTGCCGACCGCTTGGTGTGCTGTTCTGCTGGCCACATGTCACATCCCTCTGCTGCCACCCTGCTGGCTTTGTCACCATCTGCCTCCATCCACTTGTCTGTAACTTCTGCCCATCAGGCTCAAATGATTTCAGCTCCCAGTGATTTCAACTCCTAGCAAGCAGGATAAGAAACACAGCTCCAACACAATTAACATAAGAGGTACCTAATGATGCCTATTGAGCTCTGTTCTTTGAACAGTGGTGATAGTGGTGGGGGGAAACATGTCAAACCAGTCCAGGTAGAGGAACCTCCAGACCAGATTATCCCTTATTCTCCAAAGAGCTCTGAAAAGTCAAACTTCTGCATTTGCAAGATTCTCTCTGCTAACTGAGCCTTTGCATTTGGGACAATTTAGCACACTCCTACTTTTCTGTATTCCCACAAAATTACAAACACTGGTAACCATATTATAGCTATCCCTGCATTTAATATAAACATAGCTGGAGCTGGGTAATGAATTTGCTCTACAATGAGCAAAATACCACTCCATCTGCTAAATATCTAACAAATCTAAGCAAAGCAGGAGAAAACTGCATTTACATAGACACACACAGGATTTCACTCCCATTCCAGGCAGCTGTATTGGAAGCTTTCCTTCAGATTCTGCTTACACATGGAAAGATGGACATTACTACTTTGAAAAATTCCAGCTCTGGGTCCATGACATGCATGTAACTTCAGTGGAGTACAATAAGGACCATCCCACAAAGACGAATCTGAGGCCCCTTATCCTTCAATGAGTTATGCTAGGGAAGTCTACCTGTAAGGATCTCGTTCCAGGATTGTGGTCTGAATGATCTCTTTAGGATTTGGTTCCCCCTTTTTAAACACCTTTTCAAAATTACCTTAAATTCTATTTTTTTAGAATCCTTATTCAGTAGCAAAGTCACCAAAGCCCTTTGTAAGAATTCAGTTGCCTCTCAGGCAAAACTTAAATTTCCTTTCTCAGTCATCTGTGTCCAATACATTTAAACATTATAGCATCTTACAGTGCTCTGTTCTGCTGAGTGATACAGCATACTGAATTCTGATGTGCAACCATACACCTGGAATTAGAATCAGTACTGAATAGGAAAAAACCTTTCATACAAGTGAAACGTTATGCTAGTAAATATGTAAAAAGAGCAAAAAAACCCTTTTTTGAAAAATTAAATATGCCACAAACAAATGACAGATTTAGCAAACTCTCTTTATTTACATTGGAATACATGTACACATATATTCTGTATATGTACATATGGATTTAAATATATATACATATATGATTTCCACATACTCTACAATACATACTTTATAGTTTAGATAGTTTATAGAGATGGGCAAAACTACATGGCAATAAAATCATGGCTTACTACTAAGATACAAAAGCACCAAATATTGAATGCATAGAATATAGTAATAAATGCTAGCATATATACAGCTAAATCTAAGACACCCTATACAGAACACAAAACAGAACATTATGTAGGTATCAGTAGCAGTAAAGTAAAAACTGAAACCCATCTGAAACTCATTAAGACAAAAACAGATTAAACATTTTCTTGAACAAAGGATTTTTCAGCATGAGGCTTTGCAATAAGTAAGAAAAGAGAAATCGAGTGAGTGACAGCCTTTCTAATGACATGTTGGTCAAGAAGCACCGCCACTTTAGCAAAATGTATTAGCTTCACGTACCTTTCTGGCAGTGCTCATCAGTTTGTATGTAACAAACAGCTCTCTCCTTGCCAGTCAATCCCCTTTCAAACCTTGGCAAAGAGCAGTGACAACAGTCACTTAAACTGTGACATCAGAAAAGAGGAACAGGAGCTGGCTTCTTTTTATGCACACATCTTGGTAATCAGCAACATTGTTAAAAGTAATAACAAAAAAACAAACCTATGTCATTTTTCCTTGATCCTGAGCAGTTGGAGTTGATTTTGCCATTGACTGCAGGGGGAGTAGTATCAGTTCCTACATAATCAGCATATAGTGCAAGATTCTCTGGTGGTGTAAATTTATACCAGCTGAGGATGTAGACATATGTTGAAATGTGCTGTACTGATGGAGTTTGTAATCTTACATGAGGGGTAATATCTAGATTTTGTTGAGCTTTTCTTTTTCAGGGATTGTGATCTTCATATCTTTAAAGTTGCATCACTATACTACTAGTTTAACTAGGATTCATGAAAAGGCATGTTTTATTAGGGTATTAGTCTTATCTTTTCCATTTCCAGGAAGGTAATAAATCAAGATGTGCTGGACAGCAAGATGTTAAGGTAAATGCTTTTCTTTAAATGGAAACCACTCTCTGAAATTTATTCTGGGACCCATTGAACACGGACCACGTTTTCCAAGGAACACTTCTATTCTAATGCCACTGTAAAACTAGCACTGTTATAAATGTAAAAATCTGAGTATAAATCAAAACAACATTGACAACAATAGGGAGAAATATACACTAAACCTGTGCACTTAGTGGATCTAACAGACTAAGGATGAGCAATGTTTGATTACATCATTGAATTTTCACTGGTTAAGAATTTGAAGAAACTGCTCTTCCATTCCAGTGACTGTGCGTAACTGCCAAAACCCAGAGTTAGAAATTCAATTCTTAATTTTTTTTAAAACAGCATAAGCATTTTATTTCAATATTATGACTCAATTTATCAAATCCTATGTGTACAACAGTCCTGTTGACATCAGCTGAAGAGTTGTTGAAATTGAGTTTTGTATGTGGATAGCTTGCAGGCCTGGCCTAGCTGTCTGTCTTTTGTTGTTTGTTGTTTGTTTTGTTAGCACCTACAGCGTGCAAGGTGCAACATACCAACTAAAAGACCTTTTTATATCTGCTATCTTAATCAGCCCTTAAAACTGCTTCGATTCAAGATCAGTGTTGAGCACATGCATTATCTTGTTCCTCCTTGTCACATGTTGCTAATGTCTGATATTTCCCTTATTATTAACAACAAAGCTAGAATTGTGTTAGATGAAAATGATTGTTACATAAACAGGTTGAATATCTATGAAACAGCACAAACAACTACAATTTTTGTTAAGACATATTTAACCTGATAGGGGAGCACTGTCTTTTGAGGAAGATTAAAGGAAACTCATATTTATGACCAATGCCGGATTTCTACAGTTACTCAGAATATGAATTACATCAGCCAGAGGACAAGTAGGGCGTCTCACTATGGTAATTATAATCAGGGCAGACCTTTTGCACCAGTTTGTAATCTACACTGTAAAAAGCAATGTAAATGCAGATAACTTTAAATGGTTTGGAACACAACCAAGAAACATGGCTTTGTGTCTGCTCTTGGTAGCAGATCTTTGAAGGATCAAAATTGCACAAGGCAGTTTTCTTAGCCCGATCTGTTTTTTCATACTCAATTCGGCAGTTGAAGGACTTGGATTCCTTGGTCTCCAGTGTTGACTGAGGAGATGATTCAAATTCCACCACCTTGGAAGGTGGCACCAGACTTACAGAAACATTTCCCAGTCCTGTTGAGTTATGTCGGAAATAAACACTGAAGGTTCCATTGCCATGATCAACAATTTTCCCTGTTATGAGGAGGTTTAGTTTTACAGTTTTGATGTTGGAATGGAAGTCACCCCACCCAAACATTTTCTTGAATTTCCCAGTTTTTACTATCGGTCTGCGCTTAGTCCGTGCAAGAGATTCTTGAACTTCAGTGATGTTGGCTAACCAATCCCAAAAGTTTTCTATGCTGTCTGAGTATGACATCTGGCCATGTTTCAACACTGTAGATGGCTTAACAAATAGTCGTAAAGGATTGATGATCCTGGAATTAACAACATTGTTGACCAATGTCTCTGCAGCATCTTTGTCTTCCCAATCCAGCACTTCTGCAGCATGGACTATTTGTTTAGTGTCACAAAATATCTGTTTCAAAAGAGAAAAAGTGAAAATGAAAACGTGAAGATAATGGGGAGGTTTTTAATATTAATTAGGGTCCTAGCCTTTACATGTGGTCCCATTCAAAAGGACTAGTCTCATGATTAATTACCATTGTTATGAATAAGAGTTTCCAGGACTGGAATTTACAGGGAAAAGATTATTGTATGTGTTTGTTTGTTTCTATGGCTAAAGGGATTAGTTTCTTAAAGGAAGAATGAAATGGTGAAGCAGAATTTGCTACCATTTGCACTTAGAACAGCCTCCTAGCTAATCTGTGCCTATTATCTCTTCCCCACCTTTCCCTTCAGATCCTGTTCTCTGAAGACTGTTTATATGTCTATATAGAACTTTTCTTTTAGTTGTGCTGTACCTGTTAATGCCTTCCATGTTGGTTCTGGATCTAGTATCTTATTTTGTGCAAAACATCACATAACGTTAGCACTAGATTCACGAAAGACTTGGGTATCTAGGTTCCATTTAGCTATCTAATCCCTGAATGAGGCCAAGTGATTCACAAAACCCACACTGCTACTGCTGACCTCACTCAAGGCACCTACATTTCTGCCTCTGTGCATGCATGGTGCTGCCTCACTCTTGGCTTCTGGATGCTGTGGCCTAAAGTGATGTACAAAGCAGAAGATGTGTGTTCCTCTGCTTAACTTACCAGCAGGGCTCAATCCAGTAAATATACTTAAACCTTGCCTACCAGATCGAAGTGAGCTCACACAAAACAGTTGGGTATGAAGGAGGAGGGCCACATCTTCCATAACTGTTAGGCCAGTGGCTATGGTACTCATCTGGGATGTGGGAGACATCCCCTTCACTTAAGGGGGAGGAGGGATTTCAGCAAGGGATCTGAGAGTTAGGGCTCAAAAAAGACATAAGCACATTAATAGAGGATAGGTCCAGCAATGGCTATGATATAAACTCATCAGGGATAATAGTGTATCTATCCTCAGTTTTAACAGAAGCTGGGAATGGGCAACTGGAGATAGATCTCTTGATGATTACGTGTCCTGTTCATTCCCTCTGAGACATCCGGCATTTGTCACTATTGGAAGACAGGATGCTGGGTAGATCAACCTTTGGTCTAACCCAGTAAGGCCATTGTCATGTGTTTGAGTATCTTTGCATAGGGTATAGACTATGGGGTATTTTGATGTAGGGCTTCCTCAGTCTCTCCTGTTGAAACTGTTCAGTATACATAGATAAATTAAAAAAATTATTGGAGTATGGGTGCTGGATTCTGTCTCTCCCTGGTATGTGCTCTAGCAATCAGTCTACAGAACCATTCTGAGGTCTGTTTGAGAGTGTGCTCAAGCTTTCTCTCTCTGGCCCATTGCTTCCTCCATATTTATCCATGGTGCCACAGCTTCAACAGGAAAGACTAATGGCTTTTCTGCATGGTGGGGGAATGTATCTATGGAGGGGTGGAGTATGATATCTTAATGTGTAGGGCATAGCTTGGTCTGTGTAAACCCTACTGGTGTGCTTCAGGGTAGTGCTGTTTAAAATAGTGCTATATTGAAGTGCATGAGGAAATCACTAGTGGGCACGTTGGTGAGCTTCAGAAATCAGACTCCCCCAGACAATGCAATATCACATATGTAGACAAACCCAGGGGAGTGCTACCAGAATGTTCCAGAGCCCAAAGGGCTAGGACTCTGGCCTGAGGGCTGGTAAATCCTTGTTCAAATCCCTCACGGAGAGGGTGACATAGATGGGCAGTCTCCCACATCCTACGTGAACACTGTAATCCTGGGGATAAAAGTGCTGAGAGATGTTCTCCACACTGCTGCTGCCTGCAAAAATGACATTGGGGGTCTACCTCCAAGAAACAATTTGCAGCTGAGAGCACCAGGCAGAGGGAAGCACCTCCCTCTATCCTGAATTTAGATACCAAGTTCCCTGCAGGGACATACCCCTCAGTTTGGATCCCCTTGTGCTGGCTTTTGTGAATCTCATTCTGAGGTATTTCTTTCTCGTTCACTGTATAGGAATTGCAGGTGAAGAACTCAGGCTTTGTGAATCTCCTTGATGTGAGATGGATGAAATATGGTGGGTGTGGGTGTGAGATGAATAGTAGGGGTACACCTTTTTCTGGACATCCCAGTTATTCAGTTAACTAAATTGCCTGTAAAGGTTAAATCCAGAGACAGTGGGTCCTAGAGAGTCTCCAGGAAATGTTTGCAGGGAGCCAGGAGAGCCAATGATAAGTGTGAGTATTTGAATTGAAAAGCAGGACCTCCCTACTGCAGTCTTTGGGTATGTCTAGACTACATCCCTCTGTTGCCAGAGGGATGTAAATTAGACGCACCAAAATTGCTAATGAAACGGGGATTTAAATATCCCACGCTTCATTAGAATAAAAATGGCTGCCGCTTTTTGCCGACGTGGCACTTTGCCGGCAACAAGCGGCAGTTTAGACAGGGATCGGTCAACAAGGAAAGCCTTTTCCGATCGTTCCCTTATGCCTCATGCAACAAGGTTTACAGGATCGGTCGGAAAAGGCTTTCCTTGTCGACCGATCCCCATCTAGACTGCCGCTTGTTGCCGGCAAAGTGCCATGTTGACAAAAAGCGGTGGCCATTTTTAATCTAATGGAGCACGGGATATTTAAATCCCTGTTTCATTAGCAATTTTGGTGTGTCTAATTTACATCCCTCTGGTCACAGAGGGATGTAGTCTAGACATACCTTTTGTGTGTGCCAGAGCAAGAGTTGGAAATCTAAGTCAAGCCAGGAGCAAGGCATGGAATTTCCAGTGATATCCATGCCTAAGAACTTTAGAACAACAGATTTGTAGAGGGCAGGGAGAAAATTGTGGATCCATTCCAAGCAATACAGTGTTTCAGTAATGAGGCAGCCTATAGTTATTTTCTTAGCCGTGGTTATGGCAAGCTGTGTTGGGAAAATTCTGTTCTCAAAACCATTGTGCTGCATTTGAGCCTTTTGAAACTTTGCTTGCAAGGTAAAGAGCCATACATAACCATGCCACTTCTTCACCCAGGCCCTTTCATCACATTGACACATTTCCATAATATCATTAATGCCGTCCTTTCCATGCTGCTATAGATAAGCATGTCATTGTTTCTCTTAGAATCCCCTATTTTTATGAGTTGGTAACTCAGCCATAAAAAATTAGTCCAGAGGCAGAAACTTGACATACGAGGTCTCTGCCTATGAGTAATCTTGCTTTTTTCTCCTGTCTGAGCTGGAGCCTTAAAGAAGAACGCTTATTCATTTTTTAAGTAGAGATGGGGCCTGGCTGCTGACTTTAGATATAGATTTCAAAGATGGCAAGTTCTGAGTTCATATATTACGCAGCAAGGGAGTCCACTATACATTTGATGTAGGTGCAGATTCATATCCTGAACCTACTTTAATATTCAACTGAGGGTTCTGATTGAGATCCATCTCAATCTTTACATTATAAAAAGATAAAAAGTAACTAAGTTCAGATGCTATTTTAGAGTTGTCTTAGTAGAAAACACGAGTGCTTGTAAAGAGAACATAATATAGACAAAGGCCTTTTAGTTTTTTGTGTTTTGCAAGGAGAGGGGAGAAATATTGAGGACTGTGGATTTAATTATATATTCAAGAAACTGGATCCTGATAAGTGCTAAAGACATGGCATGCTTACACAGTATCACTAAAGAATAACATTTTTGTCTATTCTAATTTATACTGAGGCCTTGCCCGATTTATACAAAAATAACAAAGATTTCTATATTCATGAATGATCTAAGCTATTCTGAGGAATCACATGTCGAGGCGGTTCCCCACTCTGGCACTTCGAGTGCAGAAGATGGAGGCCCACAAGAGACTTGAAAATACCCTGCTACTAAAGGCTTCTGCTTAAGATCTCCCCAAGGTCACAGATTTCCTGGCCTTTGATTGGTATTGCTGCTTCCACTCAAATGCAAAAACCCGTTTGAGAACCCAGGAAGACGCGCTTGGAAATTTCTTCCTGTGGGGTACTTTAACGTACCCTCTGGAGAGAGCTTGAAAACAAACTGTAATTTCTTAATAGCCGATCTCTCAGTGTCGGGCATGTGCACACAGAACCTCCTGCCTTGTAGGACACAGAAATCAGATCATTGTCTTTAAAAAAGGTGATTTTGTTTTGTTTATAAAGAAGGCATCCTTGGTAAAGCATATTTGTTTGGTAGGTGTCACAGAGCAACTGAAAAAAGGCAGATTACAAACACAGATAATTGCTTCCCTGGGATTCAGTTTAAAAATTACAATGTATGGGGGAGGGAGGCTCAGCCCATAGGAGTTCAGCAAATGCCAAAATAAAGAAAATAACCTGATCACATCTGACTAAATATTCCCTGTTCTATTTACAAATCTGTTGTTCTAAAGTTCTTAGGCATGGATATCACTGGAAATTCCATGCCTTGCTCCTGGCTTGACTTAGATTTCCAACTCTTGCTCTGGCACACACAAAAGGTATGTCTAGACTACATCCCTCTGTGACCAGAGGGATGTAAATTAGACACACCAAAATTGCTAATGAAACAGGGATTTAAATATCCCGTGCTCCATTAGATTAAAAATGGCCACCGCTTTTTGTCAACATGGCACTTTGCCGGCAACAAGCGGCAGTTTAGACAGGGATCGGTCAACAAGGAAAGCCTTTTCCGATCGATCCCTTATGCCTCATGCAACAAGGTTTACAGGATCGGTCGGAAAAGGCTTTCCTTGTCGACCGATCCCCATCTAGACTGCCGCTTGTTGCCGGCAAAGTGCCATGTTGACAAAAAGCGGTGGCCATTTTTAATCTAATGGAGCACGGGATATTTAAATCCCTGTTTCATTAGCAATTTTGGTGTGTCTAATTTACATCCCTCTGGTCACAGAGGGATGTAGTCTAGACATACCTTTTGTGTGTGCCAGAGCAAGAGTTGGAAATCTAAGTCAAGCCAGGAGCAAGGCATGGAATTTCCAGTGATATCCATGCCTAAGAACTTTAGAACAACA